GGGGGGGGGGGGGGGGGGGGGGGGGCGGCTGGAATTCCCAGCGCGGCTCTGGGAGTGGGAATTGGGAATCCGCTACCAGGTAGCGGCCGCGGGAGGAGGATGGTTGCCTTGGAGACGGCGGGGCGGGGCCGCGCTCGGCGCGGACTAGTGACGCAACCGGCAGGCGCTGGTCAGCGGCGGGTCTGTTGGCGCCGGGATGGAGCAGGAGCGGTTGATTCGGAGGGTGTCGGTGCTGCAGGTGCGGAGCGGGCCCGGGGCGCACGAGTCGCAGCACGGGATCTCGGATTGGGACCTTCGAACGAGAGAAGGCTACTACGTTCAGTCACCTACCCTCGTGCCCGCCTCTGGAGTTACCGAACCACCCCCACCACCCTGAAGAATGGTGGGACCCACGGACCCCCCACAGGCCTTCCACTCCCACCATGTGCTCCTGCGGGATCCAGGAAGTGGCGGGAAGGGCCTTAAATTCGAGAGGGGGAGCTAGTCCGGCATCCTTCCTTGAACCCCAGGGGACTGTCCTGACGCACAGCGTCACCTCTCCTTTTCCCGTGTCCAGATCTCCTCGTAGTCACTGAGACAACCTCTCCAGGAAAATCCTCAAAATGCCCCCACTTCTGCAGTGATGAGCATTTTCTTTCTCCTTTATTCTCCACGCCAGGCCTGCGTCCGGGGCTTCTTGGTCCGACGCCACTTCCAGAGTCTGCGAGCGGAGTATGAGGCTGTTGTACGAGAAATCGAGAGTGATCTGGGCACGCTTCAATGGACAGAGGGCTGGATTCCCAGGCCCCAGTTCCTCCCAGAGGTAGTACACACCCAGTGGAAGAAGGGAGGGGTAGGAGGGACCTGGGGAGGGGCTTCAAGGAAATGGTAGAATCCACCCTTCCTGTTGACAAGCTTTTCTCAGTGGAGGACTCCACTCCCCACATTCCAATCCTTAATCCATACCACCTTGCATGCTAAATCTTGGCACCCACATATTTGGAGGGTTTAGCTGTGAGGTTTTCATACTTATGATTTCTCAGAAGGCAAAATCCCATCGGACCCAGAAACTGCAAGGGAGGGCACCAAATCCAGAGCAGGAACTGCGGAGCAGCTTCTTATGTACAGAACCTGAGGGAGAAGCTATCTTGGGGGAAGTGATGCTGAAGAAGTCAGGAGAGAGCTCCGCAAACTCCGGGAGCCTTCTCTGCAGAGGTAACAGCCCCTGGCCTCAGGAGGAGCACAGCAGGAAAGCCAGGAATCCCAGCCAAAGGGAGATCAGAGATGCATCAAGGATGGAGAACCCAGGTACCTCTGTGCCTCGATTCAGGGCAAGCCCTTGACCTGCTCTGAGCCTCAGCTTTCCCATCTGAAAAGTGAAAGGCTTGTGCTCCATAAGCTGCATCCCTCTCTTTTTTCCCAGTGCCTGGTTAAGGGCAACTCAGGGGTGGACAGATGGAGGGTGCCAGGGCTTAAGGGTAGCCAGGCCTAGTGTGTACCCCTAAAGCCTTCTCCCTTTTTTCTTCCCTCCTTCACAGAAGCTGCGGGTCCAGGACTGCCCCACAGCCAGACTGAGCTCCAGGAGCTCCAGTACCGCCACAACCACTTGGCCATGGAACTGCTGTGGCTACAACAGGCCATCAATAGCCGTAAGGAGGTAGGCACTCCCTTGGAGCCCTGTCAAGGGTGGGGGTTAGGGAAAAGCCTCCTGCTCTGTCCTCAAGCAGTCCTGCCTGGTACACTGTCTATTCTCTTCCCCAACAGTACCTAATTCTCAAACAAACACTGACATCCCCAGAGACCGGCCAGCCCAGAGACAAGCCCAGCATGTGCTCAGACCACAGGGCGCAGACCTATGAGAAGGCCAGGTCACAAACAAGCCCGCCACTGAAAAGCCAGTCCTACCGAGACAGGACCGCTAGTGAGCCAGACCATGTGGATGACAGTTGGAGGCTCAGATCACCACCACACAAGTGCCCAGAAAGACTGGCCACTACAGATAAAACTGCTGATGGGGTCAAGTACAGGGACCCATGTTGCAGGAAGGCTGTGCCACAGCTGCTCACACCATCAGATAACCAGGCCTTAGGGAACAGGCTCACCAAGGAGCCAGACCATGGGGAGCAGATGTTTGGACGGACCTGCCCACAGCTGACGACTGTTCTGGATGACCTCACCCCCAAAGGCCTCAAACCTAGGGGCTACTGTTCCGGAAAGGCCAGGACCCGGGTGCCCACACTCTGTGAAGACCCAGATATTGAGGACAAGTCTTCCAGGAGGTCAGAACACAGAGAGCCTGATTGCCAAAGAGCTAGGCCACGGAAGTTGGACTTCTCAGAGGACCGTGGCTTCTGGGAGGAGACCTCGGCAGAACGTGGTGGCCAGGGTCTCTGGAAGACTAAACCACCTAAGGGCTAGCTCCTTAGAGAGAATTCTCTAGGGATAGAACCTCCAATGAACCTAGCCACAAGGAAGGGAAAAACCAGAGGACTGTACCATGGTGATGAAGGCCACCTGAGAAACCATCTCCGACAGGGTCATCCCACATGGGAGAGGACCACTGGAGTGGCAGGCCGTGGAAAACAGGACCACCAGGCTAGGCCTTGGGCAGCCAGGGAAAGACTAGGTTCCAAGGCCGGGTGTGCTATGGAAGGGCGTTGAGAGAGGCAGGGCCTCATCCTTGCTCCCTGGTACCAGCACTTCCTTTTGCCCTTGGCTGTTGGCGGCTAATGGGGCCAAGAGAAGCTGGAGCGAAGAGCTGCTCCAGTATAGGGAGGGGAGGAAGAAGGACATTCTTTCATCCTCGCCTGTGGCTTAACCCAGTTTTGGGGACAGGGAATTTCCTGGGGTAAGTTAAGTAGGGAGCCTGATGGAGAATAAAGGTTTTTCATGGATTCTGCACCTGGTTGCATTCATCTTCTGCCTCTGGGTGTAGAACGGGGCCCTCCTGTTCCTTTCCTGCTGGCATGCGGCATCTTCCCCAGGGCAGGCTGGGAGCCATAGTCCAGGGGGCAGATGGGCCATCCTTGAGAACAGTCCCCAAAGCTGATCATCCTTTGAGCTCAGCCCTTAGGCTGCGGAGTGGCAGGGAGCTTCTGACGATCTTCCCTCTGTCCAGGATCAGAACATCTGTGGTTCGGTGTGTTCTCCACCACTTTCTCACTGAGGTCCGCCGTCTTCCTCCCAGTATAGTGATCAGACCCACCCAGCTCTCAGCGAGGCCCCACTGAGGGCCGAGGGCTGGCTGGATGAGACCCTGAAGGCCAACACGTGCTCCTGCAGTCTCTCCCTTCCTTTCTTGGTGAAGGTTGGGGCAGGACTCCACTTCTGACTGGCACTGCTCCCAGCCTGCCTCAGTTGCCTGGCAACGGCTCCGCGTCTCCTGCTGAGGACACACGATGGTGGGTGGTAGCAATCCAGCAGCCAAGAGGGTGGTGATATACCGGAACGGGGACCCCTTCTCCCCAGGTCGCCAGCTGGTGGTGAGCCAACGCCGCTTCCCCACCCTGGAGACCTTCCTCCGTGAGGTGACCTCGACTGTGCAGGCCCCGGTGGCTGTGCGGGCCCTCTATACGCCTCGGGGTGGCCACCCTGTCACAGACCTGGCCGACCTGCAGCACGGAGGGCAGTATGTGGCTGCCGGCTTCGAAAGATTCCACAAGCTAAGGTGAGTGGCCCAGGGCGGGTCGTATTCGTGCTCAGTGGTTGCTGCATGTGCAGGCACCGTGCATGTTCCCTTCTGGAAGGCAGCAGCCCCACGCAGGGCGCGGTCTTATCCCCGCTCTTTAGAATGGGAAATCAAGACAGGCTAAGTAACCTGCCTTAGAGTCCACAAGTCACAAATAGCGGAGCCACAGCTCTGGGCGAAGCAGGACATCGATGTTTATGCCCATCACAGTCAGGACCAGCCTGCAAGAATGTTCTGCAGGTGGAGCCCCTTTTTCCAAAGGCTCTTCTTGATTGGTTCCTCTACCACCACCATCACCAAACGCTAACTCCATCCCTCACTTCCTCCCTGCTGTGATCAATCATCCTATGCTCTCCCGGGCCGGGGTCATCCCCCTCTGTGGGGTGCAGCCATGCCTTCTAAGATAGGAGAAGAATTTTGAGTATCTGAGCTTTCAACTCAGATCTGGCTTCCGGGTGCTACTCAGCTGTCCCCTGGCGTTCCTTGTGATAGCGTAAGGAGCAAGGGGTGGGAAGCCAGAGAGACTTAGAATCCGAGCTCTGTCACTTACTTCCGTGTTACTATAGGCTCGTAACTTTCTCCATCTCACAGAAAATGAGATAAAACCTCATGAATGAGGGGCGCCTGGGTGGCTCAGTGGGTTAAGCCGCTGCCTTCGGCTCAGGTCATGATCTCAGGGTCCTGGGATCGAGTCCCACATCGGGCTCTCTGCTCAGCAGGGAGCCTGTTTCCCTCTCTCTCTCTCTGCCTGCCTCTCCATCTACTTGTGATCTCTCTCTGTCAAATAAATAAATAAAATCTTAAAAAAAAATTTTTAAAACCTCATGAATGAGAAAATTTCTGAGCTACAATATAATGCTGAGTGAATTAGTTTCACTTGACCCTTAACCTTAACTGAGCCCCTAGTCCAGATAGCCTGACGCAAGGCCCTAAGGCAGGTTCAAGGGCCAGCATCTGTTTCTGGACAGATGTCTTGAGACTATCCAGGTGGGAAGGAATACCTGGTAAGCTGCACCCTAGACCCTCACTCTGGCAGCTACCAGTGGGTACGGTCCCAGG